TTATTATATAAATATAAGTAGTTGAAGAATAAAATGAGATCCATATCATGGGGTCTGAGTCTTAACACATATTTGGTAATCTCAGCAAATGTATATTTGTCTTTTTGAAATATGCATCTGCATTCAAGACTTCTCATAAGTTGTTTTCATCCAATCAGAATGCAATCTAACAAAAAAAAAAGGCAGCTTAAAGAATTATGAAAACATTTGCAAGATCATTTGATGACTGATTTTACAAAAAATAATCTTAGATGCTACATTAGGCATAGATTTTACAATAAGGATGAACAAGAATTATAGAGTAGCACGGCAGAATTATTTAATTCTGATTGTTTAGGTTCAGCAAAAAAGGATGGCAAGTTAAAAAAAAGTTTGAAACATTTTTTATATTTAAAATATATATCAAATTAAATCTTTTGTTTAGAAATCTGTATGTGAATGAATAAAGTAATCAATCATTATATTTCTAAAAATTATATCTAGACATTTAGTAAAATTTTTTCTTGTATATTATATAATATGTTATAATGCAATTCATAAATTATAGACTTAATTTTTGTTTTATGTCTGATTTCAAATTAGTATCACACACAAAAAAATTTATTTTCGTATTTTCTACTTAATAAGAAGTCTTGAAGTTGAAAATATCAAATATTTTATATATAAAACTGCAATACTACTTTTGTTATTTCTTTTGATTTATTTGATGTCAACAGAAAAAACATTTGTATCTGGCATCATGTTCAAAACTATTAGAAAAAAAATGCTAAATTAAGGAATGAAAATAAATTTTATTTAGAAATGTTTTCTTTGCCTTAAAAATCACCAACTTGGAAATTCAGTGTTTTAGAACAATATATTACAAAAGAGCACTGTTATATTCAAATTTTTTTAAAGAGAATGAAAACACTTCTGAATAAACTTTGTTTTTGGTTCCTGAATTAAGCTTTTTTTCTAATAATTTTAATATTTGATGTCAATTTAATATATTCAAATACAGTAAACCCTCCATGTAACTGGATATTACATCATCTGTTGATTGTAGTGCTGCAAAACTAAATAATATATGTACAGTACATTAGCTTATGCTACAGTTTGAATAAATTATTTTTCTTTCAAATACAGTAATTATATTATAGTATTTATAGTTCAAGAAAAATAAATGCACAATGCTTGATAAACCAAAAAAAAATTCCAATTATCCAAAAGACCACAAAATCGATAACTGAATTTCCAGTGTATTTTAAGTTTTGAAATTATTGTTAAAAAATTAAATCTGCTAGAACAGTTAAAGATAACTGAAGTAAATAATCAAGAAAACAATGATTGTATTTGTGAAGATATGACTAAAGAGTCATTATTTTACATTATACCAAATTTAAATATAATTTTTTTGTTCATATTTAAAGTTCATTAATATATTAAACTACTATGAATATGTAGCTAGAACAATTTCTAAGATCAAGGCAATTAATAATAATGAATTTAACAGATTTAGACAAAAAGAAACAGGAAATTTTAAAAGAAGGAAATTTTGAAAAATTAGAGTTAGATCCAACAAGTAACATACAGAAATTATTGAAGAAAATTGTAGGAAAATTAATAAAAGAAGGAGTTATTTCAATTACTGAAAGTAAAGAACTATTACCAGGAGAAAATGTGAGAATGCCAAAGTTAAATGTTCGTATTAAGACACACAAACAAAATAAATGCAGACCTATAGTAGACTTTAAGATGACCGTGTTATATAATTTAGAGATATTTTTAAAGAAATCATTACAGGTTATATTAAACTCTGAACTTAGTATAAAAAATACTGATAGTTTAATTTCAAGATTAGAAGCAGGAAGAATTTTGCCAGAGTACCGTTTAATGAGTATAGATATAGTGTCAATGTATCCATCGATTACAAAAGAAATGATTATACAGAGTTTAAGTGAGTATAACACCCCTTCAGATTTAATATCATTAATAACATTTGTATTGGAAAACAATTTCTTTGCAGTTAAAGGCGAGTACTTTCGACAAAAGGATGGAATATCCATGGGCTCGGTGGTCGGCCCAAAGCTGGCAGAGATTGTTATGAAAAATATAGATAAAACGTTGCTGAACTTAGGTGGAATAGTTTTTCTGGCACGGTATGTCGATGATATATTTATTATTTATAATAGTAAAATAACATCACCAGAAAAAATCTTAAAAGAAGCTAATGAAATTAATGAACATATTAAGTTCACCTATGAGTGTGAAAAATTAGATAGTCTAAATTATTTGGATATCACAATAACCAGGTTTAAAGATCATTTGGAGTATAGTAGGTATGAAAAACCTTGTAACACAAATAAAGTTATAAATTTTAGATCGTATTGTCCAATTAATCAAAAAAGAAATATTTATTTAATGGAAGTAAAAAAGATATTTTCTAGAACAACCAGAAGTGAAAAAAGAATAGAAGAACTCAAAAAAATAAATAAGAAGTACTTGTTGAACAATTATCCGAAAAGATTGCTGAGGAACTGGTATGATGAATATTCAAAAAGAAGATTTCAAGTAAAGCAACAAAAAGAAAGTAAAAAGTATGTTTCTTTTCCATATATCCAAGGTATTTTTGAAAAATATAAAAAAATTTTCTGTAAAAACTTAATACAATTGGCTCCATTGCAAAAAAATAGATTATCTGAATTAATTAGAACTGAACCTTACAGAAAGAAAGATTTATTGGAAGAAGATGGAGTGGTTTACAGGCTTCAATGTACGTGTGGAGTACCGTATTACTACGTTGGAGAAACGAAACGGAAACTAAAAGTGAGGATGTCGGAACACTTGGCAGCAGTACGAAATAAAATTAATACATCCCCGGTATTTTTGCATTG